GCCCTCTTCCCATTTAATTTCGTCTCGACAACACTTCAATTACATGCTTACCTACAACTGTAATAATGCGGATCAGTGACAACTTTTATAAGTCATGGAAATATGACAGAGCAATTCTATGAATACATTCATACAAAAATGTCAACATGCTCTATATGCTTATCGAATATCATCTATAAATAAATTCTAGAGACTCAAATAAATATTTCTAGGACCAGAATTAAACAATGGTTTTGAGACTAAATTATGGATACTCTGGCATCCAGGGGGATTTAAACCATTTAATGTTTGATGTCGCACTATTGCAAGAAATTGTTAATTTTTCTTATGAGAACAGACTGTTTTATTCTTTATTAAAAGTTTCTTTAAAAAGATTCCTATTCTTTAAAAATATTAACAAGTTCAAATGTTGATAGATAATCGTTGTGAGCTATTCTTGTTGCCCTTGCATAAATCTTTTTCTGCTGCAAAATATCCAATGAATCCTTCCCTGCTACAAAATATGCAATTGCTAATGACCAAAATTTATAACCTCAATCCGGGCTTCATGAGGAGAGATAACTATTTAACTGCAAACTCACAACTGTTTGCGATTACGAGAGGTTGTCTGGAAAATGGTAAAGAGCAAAGACATATCCAGTAAAGAGGCTTGGTTTGTGGCCCTCTTTGCCAAAAAATGAAATATTCTGACACTCCAAGTAAATTAAAGAAAAATTTCAACTATGGAGCAAAAATATTTTTACCGTCATAGTGGGCAGGGAAAAGTTGGCTTTCGCGCAATTTGAAAACACGTATAGAGAAAAATTGACTCCTCTTTACGTAGGAGCACCATATTTTGCTGGTTTATCTTCGAAAGTTATGTTTTTAGTGTTTCCAAGGGCGTGGTTATAACAAATTTTCGTATTTGAGAGTATCTTGACCACTTTTTGTAGACAGTTTTTGACACAACGAGAGATTCCGGAGATCTAAATTTCTTCACTCAAGACATGCCAGTTTGTTTTCAGGAAATTCTTCTAAGATACATTCTCAGTTAATATCACTTCTGTCAATTTCTGCAAGAAACTGCGAAAGTCCGACATTTTTTGAGAATACAAGCATGATATCCTGCTGTAAGCAGCAAATTTTGGTTCATGACGATCATTATATTTTCAACAACTTTAACTTGATGAATGAGGTGCAAAATTTTAAACAACCAAACGCGTCTTTATAATTATGCATAGCTTTGAAGAACCCAATTTCTGTAAGTAAAGAAGTCAACCAAATACACGAGAATTAGTTTTTTATTTATGCATATCGAAAAAACCATTATTCTTTTCAATCCGTTTGCTGTTGATGTCACACAGAAATCTTTAAAAACAAAAGAAAGGCAACATTTGACTTTTGAGTTTGAAAGAAAAATGCCCCTACAATTTTCTTAGCAAGAGTACAAATGCAAAATAATCTAAATTTTTTGTAAATCTAGGGAAGTCTTTATGAATAACTTTAAAAAATTAATGTTTATTCTAAAATCTGTCTAAGCTGGAAAAAGGGTGATTAGGCATCCTTATGACATTGTAATAAAATGGGAAACACAGTCACCAGAGTTGTTGAAATCTTAATGTTCTTAGCTCATTATATTGGGGCCTCCCCACATTTTTGCGTGATGCGTTATTGGCCATATTTCCGTGAGTGAAATCGTAAAATCTCGTTATCTCGTAAAATTTCTTGCTTTATGTCGTGAAAAGGCTTTAACTATCCGTGAATTCATCTCAATAATTTGCCTCAATTTTGTGCGTAATGAAACAATAAGTGTTGAATCTCAAATTAGTCTTCAAAGTTTGACAGTAGTGTTGTAGTCCTTCAAACAGGGCTCTGATGAGCAATAGCTGGTACTACATTTATTGTTTGCGTGAGCGTGAAAATCAATTTTTGCAGTCCGTGAATGCGTGGAAAGTCAAAAAATCGTGCGTGAATGCGTGAATCACAACCACTATTGGGGGCCTCTATATTTAGAGTAGTAACGACGCAGCATATAAATGGGAAATCTTCTTTCCAAATTAAATTTAACACAAGCCCCGCAATATTGGGATTACAGGTGATGTATTATTAGAACCCAGAGTTGAACTATTGGAGCATCATAATGAGACCTGCCAAAATACAAATTAATGACATTTTTCTTTACAAAAAGAATCTCGATTTGCCATAAGCTTTTACCAGAACTTCTGTTGTCATTTTCACCAGAAAAGAGGGAAGGGATTTTACTTTCGAGTACTCTTTGATTGTTTGTCATCCTGGGCCAAAATGTTTTGAAAAACATACAAAATCATCTTTGTCTTGACTTTATGCAAGTTTTCTCCCCCTTCCAGTATGTCATACTCTGATGTCGCCCCATTTTACATCCAATTCTCAATGCTTTCTGTTCCCTATTGCATTTCAAAATGATGAATTTAGTGTTGTTTTCTTGAAAATAAATTCTTATCTTATTATTGAGTAACGTCTCACGTTCAATTTTTCAATTTAAATTTTTCCAAAATCATCTAACTAGAAAGAATTCTGCATGAATTGCATGATGCAGACAAGTAGTCTACAGCCGTATTCACCCTCGTTTCTGTATCATCGGCCAAAGTGTATCTCGGACATGACTACAAGAATAAAATTATTCAGGCTAGGACCCATTCTTCTGAATTGTGCATCATATGCACATGCGCATTAAAGCGAAGTTGTGTGGACGAAATTTACATTTCATGGCGCTTCACAGCACTGAATCAGAACTATTATATGTCAAAGCTGCATCATATAAACCCGAGTTCCATTCTTACTCTTCATATTAAACCTATTTCTCTAAATTTTCTCTTAATTTCTAAATCTCTTAATTCGAGACTGGATAATTGCCCCGAAAGCTACGAATGTTGCTACTACGGAATACCTCAGGCGATGTGAAAATAATTTCATCGATTTTAACTGCGCATGTGTATATGATGCAAAATTTCAAAACCCACCGGACTTTCAGACAAATGCTGGTTTGTCTCCCAAACAAGATTTTCGATTACCGTGTAACGCGAATTCAGATTTTCAGTCTCAATATATGGTTTTTTCTGCAAGAATGTCGGTACAACTTTGCTCCCGTATTTTTGCTCCCGTATTTTATCCGGACAATAAAGTCGAACTTTTAAAAATTCAAAAAAACGTCGATGAAAAGGTTAGCTACTCCATGCTGGCTGGTCATAATGCTGGCAGCGTCCAGACTTTGAGAGGACGAAAACTCCATTCGTATGGGCCCAAATGCTTTGGCTTCTTCCGATTACTTCTTGGTTTGCCAGCATATAGTAATCTTCAATTTGGAGGGTACCCTGGGATTGGTAACTGTTTGGTAAAACATACCAATTACACTTTGCAATGCACAATGCACTTCTAAGCAGTAGAAACGGCACACTTTCATTATTTGCATCTTAATGTAGTAATAGCAAGCTTTAGACATCATTTTGCTCTTCAATGGCAAGTGTTTGGAATCCAGATGTAAAAGTAATTTTCCTTAGTAGGGTCCGGGGTATCGGGCTAGCTTTGTTAAACTGATTGAGTACAGTTGGCCTTTAAAGAGGGCAGGGGCAAGATTTTTGATATCATTTAAAAGTATTTATGCACAAAACACTATCAGCTTATGTTATAATAAAATTAGATAAAAAAAATAAATCTGAAATAATGCTTGCAAAATAATGGTTACTAAGGCAGTGCTAAAATAATGTTTGATTGATTGTGTTTACGATTTTAAAACATTACATAGCTGTCTTCCTAGGGATCGTGCGTTGGTAACAAGTAGTTTTTTAACTTCTCTTATATTCGAAAATGGTACGACTATCGCTAATATGCGGTGGAATTTCATTCCAAGCTTTAACACTAACGTAGTAGAAATGTCTTTTTGAGAGTTCCAAATGTTGCCTATGTACATCGATTTCTAGCGGGTTCGTAATGTGTAACTGGATAACTGGCACCTTGTTGATAACTTTCCTTTCATGTTATCTGGGCACAGGTCCCTGGTTATTTTGTAGATTGTTAATGCCCTGTCATATTTGAAAAATTCGTTACAGACAACACGGTGCAGATCCCAGTTAAATTTGAACCATTATTTTAAAAGTATCCCGAGATTACTTTGCAGGATGTCCAATGTGTTTCGTTTGTTCAGCAAACTTTATTTTTCATCTCAACAATGCAATTTTGTTTCCTTTTTAACAAGAATTTCTTTCCGTGCATATTCCAATCAAAAAAATTGAATTTTTTACCATAACTGGGAAATTTTTAAGGCCACATGACTTAGCCCATGCTTCGCCCTTTAACTTGAGTTCGTATTTTGCTGACATATGCAATAATTCACAATGTTCCAATGTATTTATGGTTATAATTCAAAGTGAGCAAATTTTTTCTTAGCTTGTAAGATTTTTTTAAGGATAAGTAGACCAAGATTGCAAAAAGAAAAGACCCTGACTATCTTGACAACTTTCAGATGGGAAGACTATCCATAACTATTGTAGTCCCCATAAGCAACATGTTCCATTTTGGAATATATGTTTCTTTAGAGAAGGAGAATAACAATTTAGCAGACTGAAACTAATTGTTGAAAAAGAAAGCTACATATATTTATAAAAAGATTTGCTACTCCAAAAGTAATTTGAGTACTGTGGTCATATCTAATCAGCCATCGAGAAATCATTAGTTAGAAATTAAAATCAGATGTCAATCTATTCTGCTGCCTTGTAAGTACCAGAAAAGATAACAGGCAGACTATAATGATTGTCTTTTTCTCTCTGGTATCAAAATGCAACAAATATAGTCAAAGCTTGCAACTTTTTTGCATCTATAAAATTTCAGTTTCTGTTTAGCATATCAACATAATCTTTGCATTTGGTTCTATTGTGGAAGAATGATAAAAAATTGTCTTTTTTTGCAAAAAAATAATGGCAATGTATTACTAAAGAAATTATTTGTGACAAAATATGACAGAAGGGACCACAGAGGAAACACAATGCTTGCTATTTATCTTATTACATTTACATGCATGGATCAAGACAATATAACACGAAGCATTACATTTAACTGTTTACTTCAATGGAATGAATCTTGACGAGTGAGTAGCTCCAATACCTGGCCTTCCATGACGAACTGGCTTGTATGTGATTGAAAATTCTCCAAGATAGTGGCCAACCATTTCAGGCTAAAAAACAAAATTTCACAAATGTACCATACAATATAAACTGCAACATAGTATGGCCTTTTCAGAGTATGTTTAAAAAAGACAACTCATTACTTGGCACAAATATATTTACATATCTTATTTTTTCTAATAAATTTCACTAGAGTTTATTTTGGTAAAAATAACTTGAGTTTAAAAACACATTTTATCAATCTAAATTCAATCAAAATTGCTATATTGCACCCCATTTTTTTGATTTTGCTGCTCAAAGTTTAGCCTAGGCCATGAAAGCAGCAAATAATTTGTGACACAACTGGAGGCTTAGAGTCACACGGATTTATCCACACTAAGGGCCATTGAGGTGGAGTTAACTATGATTTCCACAAAATTAATTCTTCTTTGATGACTATGTGTAGTAAATAATGAAGATAAATGAAATATATACAAAAAGGTCAATTTACAACGTCCAGATCATTCTCTGCCTTCTGTGAGCCCTAAGTTTGTTTATCATCGGTAATATGGCTAGGCTAAATAATCACGACAGACAATTTGTTTTGACAGCAGCTTTTAAAATCTGGTTATGTTAGATCAAAACATTCTCTGTTTGGAACTTTGCTTTCTCTTAATTCACACACACTTTGGCTTCATTGCTAACTAGACTTTCCCGTTTGTTAGGCCTAAATGTATTTTCATGCTCATCTCAGTAACATAAGCAACAACTCCTGTGACCAACGAGGGCATGCTTTGCTTTGCATTTGGCCTGGCATTTGGCACTTTTCAAGCCTTTTAACTGCAAATTCAAATTCAATCTTTGGAAAGGATCTAATAAACCAAAATCGGCAAAAAATTTCACTTTGGCATTACACTACCAACACAAAAGTATTGCAACACCTTCAAGGGCAATTAATATATTGTTTGATTAAGCTATTGTTTGCTCAGATAATGGGGCATAATTAAGATAGCAAATTCAATGAAGCATCAACTTAAAAATTCCATTTTTATTTTTCAAAATTTGAAATAAACAGTTGAAACAAATTCTGTAGAAGTGCTTTGAGCTCTGACAACTGTGAAAAGTCCTTTGGAAATGGTGCACAACATGTTTTGATGAAATGTGCTTGGAGTCTTTCATATCCCTGCATTAACTCCCATGTTGCTAGTTGCCAATTTACCAAAATCATATGGGCCGAACTATACCAAAAGAATTACCCAAATTGGGTTGGAGAATTTCAAGGCTAAAAATGTCCCGACAATTGACTTCATTTGTTAATGGCTTTGAAAAAAGCAAACATTTTACAACATACTTAAAGCTTTTTCGTCTGACACTCCTCAGAGCATAAAACGTCAGAATAGGTTCCGAAAAAACACGATGGAAAAATATATACCCAGTTGTGGAACGAAATAGGCCAATCAGAAAAACGCAAGCACAAGACCGGTATAGTTGACCAATCAGTGCCGCGAGCCTAAAGAAAAATTACTAATGGAGTCCAAGAGAGAAAACGAACTCCTTTTGTCTACACAATGGCTGCTTTTTCGTTTTTATGTAGATTGACTCCAAAACTGCTAGATGGAAGGACGACCGGGCTCTGCCAATTATCCGAAACATGTCGTCATTATAGAGTTTTGCACAATCTGGGTTGTCTAAAAGATGTTGACCAATGGCAGAATCACTTGTTTTAACAGTGTTTCTAGACCTACAAGATCGAGGAGGCTGTTCTCTTTGAGGGGCAGTTTTGTTTCGTACGTTGGAAGGAACATGCTGTTTTATCCTATCCCCCAATCTTTGGGTTGTGCGCCCTACGTAGCCAGAATCACACTGGCACGTAAATTCATAAATGACGGAACTTTTTTGTTTGGTAGGGACGCAATCCTTTTGAATGGATGGAAGGGCTCTCCTAGTGCTGTAAACAATTTGAGGATTGACAGCAAAGAAACAATTGGTTATGGCTTGCCTAATCTGACTCTCGAATCGCAAGGAAGTGTTACCAATCCATGGTAGTTTCAAATAAACTGGGCACTTTTGCGGACCAAACTTTTGAACAGCCGAAAAACTTGCGATCTTCTCCTTAGTATAAGATAAAATGACGTCTTCAGGATAGCCGTTGTCCAAGAAGATCGTTTTGAGTTTTTCCAGTTCAGCGTGCAGTTTAGATTTCGAGCAGATCATAAGTGCCCTATGTACTAATGTGCCCTATGTACTAATGTGCCATAAGTGCCCTATGTACTAAGATCATAAGTGCCTATGTACTAATGTGCCATAAGTGCCCTATGTACTAATAAAAAAATTGTTCACATTTTTCAAGCAGAGGTACACTAAACAGGAGATTGAGGATCTCAACCAACTGGTGAAGTTAAGAGGTAAGCTGAGGACGGCCAGGTTCTCTTTATCATTTCTCAATTTATGTTTGACTAACCGAGTTGTGCCAAAATTTATCACCGCTCGTATTTCCAAGTCTGGTGTTAGACAAAGTCCAACCATTGAGCGCGCTTTTCTCCACGATGAGATTCAGAAAAGAAAAACCAATGTTCTGAACTTAAAATGCATGTATACGCGCCAATGTTCTAAAACGCGTCCATTTCTTTCATTCCTTGACAATTTTCGACTTTGCCGCTACATTTCTGAAATTGACCAGCGGACACTAAAACATACCACGGAAAAACACAATAGGAATATTGGCTTGCTAGTAAGGAAACGTTTCGGTGGCATGTTGAGCGACACCAAAAAACATTTTTAATTTCTCGGATTATTCTCTCTCTGATACTGAAACATTTGTCTTAGGTAATGGACTTGAATTTTGTATCCCACCCCTAACTATCAACAGAGAGGAACTCTTTGCTGAATTCGAAATTTTACACGCTCAACTTGCTAAGCACGAGATTTCTAACCCTTTGGAGTTTAACAAATTACGAGCACGACTAAGCGATTTGGCGTACGCTTACAGCGGCTCTCCCATCGACCACTCAGATTTTCTATTGCATAGAGAACATTTCCAAGCACTAAAATCTCTACGGGCTAACAATGACATCTTTATTACAAAACCTGATAAAGGGTCTGGAGTGGTCATTTTAAACAAAAAGGACTACATCAATAAAATGGAGGTAATTCTCCACGACAAAGAAAAATTTGCTAAATTGGGTGATGTCGAAACACATGACAAAACGGCCAAACTAGAGCGGAAACTCCAAAAACGTTTGTTGGAACTGGTCAACTCAAAAATGTTGTCTACAGAAATTTATGATAGGATAAGACCCACGGGCTCTCAACGACCACAAATGTATGGCCTCCCTAAAATACACAAGCCGAACGTCCCACTTAGACCTATCTTGTCTATGATTGGCTCAGCACAACACGAACTGGCTAAGTGGCTTTCTGAAGTTTTGGACCCTGTTCTTCAAAATATTCAAAACATTGCATCAAGGATTCTTTTACGTTCGCTGAGTTCATGCAAAACTTGAACATCGAAAACGAAACATCTTTCATGTGTTCTTTTGACATTAGTAGTCTTTTCACAAATGTTCCTTTGAGTGAGACCATCAAAATATGTGCCGACGCTTTGTACCGGAGCGAGCTTAATAGCCCACCATTCCCAGAGGAAGTATTCATTGAACTGATGGAAACTGCAACACGTTCAGTTGAATTCGGTTTTAACAATGAAATGTACCAACAAAAGGATGGTGTCGCTATGGGTAGCCCTCTGGGACCTGCCTTGGCCAATATCTTTGTTGGCTTTCATGAAGAGCGTTTGTTCGACTACGACCAAAAGCCAGGTGTCTATTTTCGGTATGTGGATGACACATATACCATTTTCAAAACAGAGGCTTAGTGTGATATTTTTCTAAAACACCTAAATAGCCTACACCCAGCCCTCCAGTTTACGTTTGAAAAGGAAGAAAATGATTCCTTACCATTTTTAGATGTTTTGGTCGAAAAGTCTAACACTGGATTTCTACCAGTGTATATCGCAAGCCTACTTTTACCGGTCAGTACATACGCTGGAATTCATTTTGCCCAAAACAACGCAAAGTCAACCTTGTTAAAACATTAGTACATAGGGCACTTATGATCTGCTCGAAATCTAAACTGCACGCTGAACTGGAAAAACTCAAAACGATCTTCTTGGACAACGGCTATCCTGAAGACGTCATTTTATCTTATACTAAGGAGAAGATCGCAAGTTTTTCGGCTGTTCAAAAGTTTGGTCCGCAAAAGTGCCCAGTTTATTTGAAACTACCATGGATTGGTAACACTTCCTTGCGATTCGAGAGTCAGATTAGGCAAGCCATAACCAATTGTTTCTTTGCTGTCAATCCTCGGATTGTTTACAGCACTAGGAGAGCCCTTCCATCCATTCAAAAGGATTGCGTCCCTACCAAGCAAAAAAGTTCCGTCATTTATGAATTTACGTGTCAGTGTGATTCTGGCTACGTAGGGCGCATAACCCAAAGATTGGAGGATAGGATAAAACAGCATGTTCCTTCCAACATACGAAACAAAACTGCCCCTCAAAGAGAACAGCCTCCTCGATCTTGTAGGTCTAGAAACACTGTTAAAACAAGTGATTCTGCCATTGGTCAACAACTTTTAGACAACCCAGATTGTGCAAAACTCTATAATGACGACATGTTTCGGATAATTGGCAGAGCCCGGTCGTCCTTCCATCTAGCAGTTTTGGAGTCAATCTACATAAAAACGAAAAAGCCGCCATTGTGTAGACAAAAGGAGTTCTTTTTCTCTCTTTGACTCCATTGGTAATTTTTCTTTAGGCTCGCGGCACTGATTGGTCAACTATACCGGTCTTGTGCTTGCGTTTTTCTGATTGGCCTATTTCGATCCACAACTGGGTATATATTTTTCAAACATGTTTTTCGGAACCTATTCTGACGTTTTATGCTCTGAGGAGTGTCAGACGAAAAAGCTTTAAGTATGTTGTAAAATGTTTGCTTTTTTCAAAGCCATTTTCAAATTCTGTACCGCAAAAAAATTGTTCACATTTTTCAAGCAGAGGTACACTAAACAGGAGATTGAGGATCTCAACCAACTGGTTAAGTTAAGAGGTAAGCTGAGGACGGCCAGGTTCTCTTTATCATTTCTCAATTTATGTTTGACTAACCGAGTTGTGCCAAAATTTATCACCGCTCGTATTTCCAAGTCTGGTGTTAGACATAGTCCAACCATTGAGCGCGCTTTTCTCCATGATGAGATTCAGAAAAGAAAAACCAATGTTCTGAACTTAAAATGCCTGTATACACGCCAATGGTCTAAAACGCGTCCATTTCTTTCATTCCTTGACAATTTTCGACTTTGCCGCTACATTTCTGAAATTGACCAGCGGACACTAAAACATACCACGGAAAAACACAATAGGAATATTGGCTTGCTAGTAAGGAAACGTTTCGGTGGCATGTTGAGCGACACCAAAAAACATATTTTCAATTTCTCGGATTATTCTCTCTCTGATACTGAAACATTTGTCTTAGGTAATGGACTTGAATTTTGTATCCCACCCCTAACAATCAACAGAGAGGAACTCTTTGCTGAATTCGAAATTTTACACGCTCAACTTGCTAAGCACGAGATTTCTAACCCTTTGGAGTTTAACAAATTACGAGCACGACTAAGCGATTTGGCGTACGCTTACAGCGGCTCTCCCATCGACCACTCAGATTTTCTTTTGCATAGAGAACATTTCCAAGCACTAAAATCTCTACGGGCTAACAATGACATCTTTATTACAAAACCTGATAAAGGGTCTGGAGTGGTAATTTTAAACAAAAAGGACTACATCAATAAAATGGAGGTTATTCTCCACGACAAAGAAAAATTTGCTAAATTGGGTGATGTCGAAACACATGACAAAACGGCCAAACTAGAGCGGAAACTCCACAAACGTTTGTTGGAACTGGTCAACTCAAAAATGTTGGCTACAGAAATTTATGATAGGATAAGACCCACGGGCTCTCAACGACCACAAATGTATGGCCTCCCTAAAATACACAAGCCGAACGTCCCACTTAGACCTATCTTGTCTATGATTGGCTCAGCACAACACGAACTGGCTAAGTGGCTTTCTGAAGTTTTGGACCCTGTTCTTCAAAAATATTCAAAACATTGCATCAAGGATTCTTTTACGTTCGCTGAGTTCATGCAAAACTTGAACATCGAAAACGAAACATCTTTCATGTGTTCTTTTGACATTAGTAGTCTTTTCACAAATGTTCCTTTGAGTGAGACCATCAAAATATGTGCCGACGCTTTGTACCGGAGCGAGCTTAATAGCCCACCATTCCCAGAGGAAGTATTCATTGAACTGATGGAAACTGCAACACGTTCAGTTGAATTCAGTTTTAACAATGAAATGTACCAACAAAAGGATGGTGTCGCTATGGGTAGCCCTCTGGGACCTGCCTTGGCCAATATCTTTGTTGGCTTTCATGAAGAGCGTTTGTTTGACTACGACCAAAAGCCAGGTGTCTATTTTCGGTATGTGGATGACACATATACCATTTTCAAAACAGAGGCTGAGTGTGATATTTTTCTAAAACACCTAAATAGCCTACACCCAGCCCTCCAGTTTACGTTTGAAAAGGAAGAAAATGATTCCTTACCATTTTAGATGTTTTGGTCGAAAAGTCTAACACTGGATTTCTTACCAGTGTATATCGCAAGCCTACTTTTACCGGTCAGTACATACGCTGGAATTCATTTTGCCCAAAACAACGCAAAGTCAACCTTGTTAAAACATTAGTACATAGGGCACTTATGATCTGCTCGAAATCTAAACTGCACGCTGAACTGGAAAAACTCAAAACGATCTTCTTGGACAACGGCTATCCTGAAGACGTCATTTTATCTTATACTAAGGAGAAGATCGCAAGTTTTTCGGCTGTTCAAAAGTTTGGTCCGCAAAAGTGCCCAGTTTATTTGAAACTACCATGGATTGGTAACACTTCCTTGCGATTCGAGAATCAGATTAGGCAAGCCATAACCAATTGTTTCTTTGCTGTCAATCCTCGGATTGTTTACAGCACTAGGAGAGCCCTTCCATCCATTCAAAAGGATTGCGTCCCTACCAAACAAAAAAGTTCCGTCATTTATGAATTTACGTGCCAGTGTGATTCTGGCTACGTAGGGCGCACAACCCAAAGATTGGGGGATAGGATAAAACAGCATGTTCCTTCCAACATACGAAACAAAACTGCCCCTCAAAGAGAACAGCCTCCTCGATCTTGTAGGTCTAGAAACACTGTTAAAACAAGTGATTCTGCCATTGGTCAACATCTTTTAGACAACCCACATTGTGCAAAACTCTATAATGACGACATGTTTCGAATAATTGGCAGAGCCCGGTCGTCCTTCCATCTAGCAGTTTTGGAGTCAATCTACATAAAAACGAAAAAGCCGCCATTGTGTAGACAAAAGGAGTTCGT